GTTCTGGGAACTCGAAGAACACGAAGTGGCCTACAGTTGGTTCCGGGCATTCAAAATCATGTCCAGGAATGGAGTTCTGGGAACTCGAAGACCACGAAGTGCGTTACTGTTTGCTAAAAAAGGGGTCCCCGGTTTCCCGGGGGTTTCCCGGGACACCCTGTCCGGATCCCGCCCAGACCCCCCTGTGGAGTCCAGATGCTCTCTTTTGAGCCTACTAGAAACCTATCAGTCTTCGCTGTTAGGTAAAAAGTTGTGTTTGATTTTTTTGGTGACAGTTAGGACGGCGGGGTTGCTATCGGCCGGTTAGGTGGGGGTTTGGGGGTGTTTAATTATAAGAAGTCAGGGTGGGGGTGGGGTGGGGTGCGGGGGTCAAGTTAGCCAGTTCGAACGAGCCAGAGGGCTCCGTCCATTCCCACCCGCCCTCCCACAACATAAGAAGCAAGTGCGTCGCGCCCGACGCCTGTCGCTCATCTTATATCGTGGGCGGCTAGACGTTCAGCGCGCGACATGAGCTGCGCCTTATTCCTGCCGCGTATTGAGCAACGGCGACGAGAAATATGACTGCGCGCGATGTACGCCGCGCCCCGCTCCGGCCTCTCATGTTGCATTGTCGGCGGCAACATGTCCAACGCGCGAAGTGCGCCGCGTCTCATTCCAGCCACGCGTTTTGCACCGCCAATCGTTTCGCTCCTGCCGCGCATGGAGGAAGGGGAGGACGAGGAGGAGGAGGGGAGCGAAAGAGGGAGGGAGGGAGAAACTGATGAGGAAGAGGACAATGCCTCTTGGGAATTCGCGGGGCGTCCTGGGAACTTTGTGGTATACGCCTGAGGGCCGCTTGGATCTATCTTCCGGGTTGGAACATTGTCAACACGAGCAGGTGCTAACCATACAATCCTTCAAACACCAAGTGGAAATCAATATTTGTGTTGCCCCCCAGGACTTCCAGGACGCCTTTTTTCGACCTCTTGGGGGTCTCCTGGGTCTCTTAGGGGCGATGTGCGCCGCGTCCCGTTCCCGCTACGCGATTCGCAGCGCCGACGAGGAGAAAGTACATGTTGGCAAGGGAAACGTCGACGTCGCGGTGTTTTTTGACAGGTAGGACGGGGGATCCCGCGTGGGTTGGTCAGGCGTCCGCGCGCGATGTGCGCCGCATCCCATTCCTGCTACACTTTTCGCATCGTCGACGACAAAAAGGTCCATGTTGACGAACAAAACGTTGATTTTGTATTTTTTTGATGGGTAGGACGCGACCACCCGTTTAGGGTTACACAAACGATGTTGATTCCGTTTTATGTTTGCTGCACTTTTCGCAACTCGACGAAATGCTGGCGAGAAAAAAGTTGATTTTGAGTTGTTTTTTGACAGTTCGGGCGGCGGGTTTGCTATCGGCCGGCTAGGTGGGGATGTGGGGTTGTTTAATCACAGGAAGTAAGGATATGGGTGGGGGTGGGGTGGTTGGGGTGGGGTGTGGGGTGGGTGGGTGGGAAGGAGGAGAAACAAGGGTAGCAGGCTGAGCAGGGGGAATAGACTGGGGATGTGAGGATGATGCGATGTGTTCCAAGTCGTATCTACCGCCCCGAAAAACTCGTTGGGGCACGCGGGGTGCGGCCCCTATGCGCTAGTCCGACATACCCGTGCCAGAGATCGTTGCCGGGGCCGATCGGTAAAAAGTGCTCCCGCCGCTTTCTTCTCCTCGTCTTGCCTGTCCTGTTGATGTGATTATGGGGAATCGTCGTCGTTGGTAGCCTAGAACTTTCTACCGCCCGCCGCGCTGCGCACCACATCTAATTACTAACGCTTCGCGTTTCCCCACCAGCCGACTGGCTCGCCGCCTGCTCTTCAGTTGCTACCTGTCCCCAGTCGGCTTGTGGTACCCTGCAGGCTCCATGGATCGGTGCCCTCTGGACGTAATTGCTGGACGGCTTCCTACCGCGACCTTGGATCAGTGGCTTTGTGGGACTTGCCTGGGTATACACAGTCTCGTTCCGCTTGTGCTCTCCGCCTCATTGGACTGCACTGTGACACTGTGCCGTGCACGCGCCGCGTTTCGACGGGAGCGTGCATTCGGTGCCCTTCCACCCGTTGGGTCTGGGCTGATACGTTTTGGTGTGGTTGTCTTTTCGGCACATGGATACACCTTGATGTCGCTGACGCCGCGGCTCGCTGCCGCCGTCGGGATCCTCGTTGGACTTACCACCCCGACCTCTGTGTCACCCGACAGGCTGGGGCTGGCGTCCTCGGCCGTTCCCTTTGTTCGCTCTTGGACGTTGGAACGTTTTCGCGCCATTTTGGCTGCGATTGGTGGTCTCGGCGCCTACCTCAGGCCTGTTGGACGCACCTGCATGCCCGTTCAGGGGCTGTCATGGCACCTGGACTGCATCGTCTTCCCTGGACGCTGTCGTGAGCCGCCTGATCCGCGGCCCTGCGCGCGTTTGGTCATTTAGTCGCGTCCGCAGCCCGTTCGCGACCTTCCGCCGCTGGCGCTTCCGCCTGCGGTTGTAAAAAAAAAAAAAACCCACCAGCCCATACACAGCGCCACGTGGGTTGCTTTGATCGGGGACTTGTAGCAACATGCAGTGGAACAACCGCCGTGGAAACGTGTCGGGGGGCAGAAACGGCGGTGACATTTGCCGACTGTTTTAGCACATGTTCCGATGCTACGGCAGTTTCATTGACTTCTTCTTGGAGCCCGCTTGGAGTTATCGTGGGACCCTTTCGCGGCGGGGAGATCGCTATTTGTGTCAATCGGAGCAGGAATACAGAAAAGACAACGGGAGGAGGAGGAGGAAGAGGAGGAGGAGGAGGAGGAGGAGGAGGAGGCGGAGAGGAATTACAATACTGGGAGGGAAGCGAAGCTTAATGACCAGTCGAGAGATGGCGGATAAAGAAAGAAACGGCGATGATGGCGACGACGATGAAAATGTTGAGGCCTTATTGGGGCCCTTTTGGGCTCCTCTTGGGGCTCTTTTGGGCAATATTAGGGCCATCGCGAGACGTCAAAGCTCATCGGAAGCCAAACGGCGAGAAGGCAATCATCATTGAGGGGTGCCTTGGAAGGCTCGGGAAACACTTGGAATCATCTTGGAGCGGTCTTGAGGCCTCTTGGAGGTATGTGGGAAGCAAGCTTGAGCCATATGATGTGTCTTGAGCCGTCTTGGAGGCTATTTTGCAGCATCTGGGGCGCTCTTGGAGCCATATTGGGCCGACATGGGTCCCCTGCCACCTCGCCCCCCTCCCCCCCGTCCAGGCCCACTGAAGGGGGTAGGTGGAGGGGTCAAGACACATTCCCCGCCAGCAAGCCGTCTTGCTCACTCCCACCCGCCCTCTCAAGACATCAGTAGCACACGGGCCGAAGCATGTTAACCGGTCGTCTCTGGATGGGTAGCTTTTAGTAAACCAATGCATATTCCATGTGCGCGACGCTAGGGCGAGGTGCGCCACCAGGCACGCCACGCGCGCCAGGCACCCCTGGGGGCCAAGCGTGCCAGGCACGCCTGGTGCGCCAGATGCGCCACGTGCTCCACGTGCAGCATGTGTGCCGCATGCTCCAGCCGCGCCGTGTGCGCCACGTTCGGGGCACGCGCAGAGTGTGCCAGGCTCGCTCGCGCACGTGACAGTACACATCGGGAAACATGTCGCCCCCAACTATTTTTTGTCGAAAGCCAATGCGCACTCGGCGCGGGTTGGCCATCATGGTGTCTGGTGGGCCTGCACACAACAGGCAACATGCCAGCACCCCCGCCGTCCCTGTCAAAACCCGGTCCCAAGTTATCGCGGGGTGCCCGCGCATGATCCAGATTTTGTCGTGAAGTGCATGTTGCATGTTTTTGACAGGGTGGTGGCCCTGCGTGCAGCAGGCAATATGCGCCCCCCCCGCCGTCCCTGTCCAAACTATTGCAAAGTGCTCGCGCCTCCCCCCCAAGCATGACCCAATTATGTTCCCCCAGCGTGCATTTTTGCAGTGTTTTTTTGACAGACGTGGGGAGGGGGGGGGCATGGGTCCTGGTTGGCTGCCGGTCGCCTGGGGGAGTGCTTGTTATCAGAGGACCCTGATCAAGACACCTCCTGCCCACAAGGCGCACGCCGTCTCGCTCACTCCCACCCGCCCTCCCAACACAGGAACAGTGATGAACCCTTCGCCCGGGCATAGAAAGGATGGGTTCTGACAGGAGGATGAAAACGACCCGTTATACCACCTTCGCCTAGAGGGCTAGTTGTATTCAAGCAGGCGGATTGGGCGCACCAGGCAACAACGAGCTTATACCGTACCAGCAGTGCAGTGCAGTATTTAGGCGAATGTCAGCAGAACCCATCGCCGCATTTTTTCAACAGCAGTTTGGACTGCACGCACGCGGGCAATTCAGGCGTTTCAAGCGCAACCGCCACACCCAGTAGGCACTGTTAGCAGGCTCTGGCAGCATATGCCAGTAGTCAGGCAGCTGGCGAGGACGGGGAAAGAAATCTAGTCTGGCCCGCCTATTTCGCTTTCTGTGAACGACTGGCGAAGCGAACCAATCTGTTCCCCGAGGATGCTCCTTCCTGCCTTCTTCTTCTCCCATCCTTCTCCCGAAATTTGCCTTTCTGATGCTGCTTCTGCTTCTGCTGCTGCTAGTGCAGCCGCTGCTGCTGTTGCTGCTCCTGCTCGCCGCCTCACTTTTTTCCTCGCCCGCTGATCATACAAGCGGACATGCGGACGTGTCGTGCACATTCGTCTCATGCCGCCAGCCCCCTCCCTGCACTTAAAGGTCTGATCGCTATTTCTGGGGCTTGATCGGCGAGGTGGGACGAGGTGCGTAGAACACGTGCTGGCGTGGATGAAGTGGGGATGACATAGGAAAGGATCTGTTGATGAAGCAGCAATGGCAGCGGTGACGGAGAAGGGCGATGAGGAGGAGGTGGGGATGAGTAGGTGGACGGGTAGGCGGGGGAGGGGGAGGCATACCACACGAAGAGGAAGAGGAGGAGGTGGAGAATGAGAATCAGCAGCAGCGGCCTGTCAGGAGGTATCTCTACAATCCGCAGAATCGTTCGTTCAACGACACGCTCCCTGTCCACTGCGACCTCGGCAACCCGACGTGGCTGAGACGAGCAGCTTTGGGGACCGCTGCTGCACCTGAGGTTCCTGTGCCCGAGGCGGCGGGACGAGGAGAGGGGGATGGGAGTGGAGGAATGCTGGCAGGGGGGGAGGAGGGGTGACAAATGCTAGAACTGGGAGGTGAGAGGAGCAGGAGGAAGAGGACGAGGATTCAAATGAGGATGATACTATGGTGGAGGAGGAGGAGGAGAGAGATGCGGGGTGGGAGCTCTCTCCTCTTCGTCGTCTATCCCCTCCCGCTCTTCTCTTTCTCCGTTGACTCCGTTCACTGTTCCTCCTTCTATTCTTGCGCCTCCTGTTCCTTCTCCTCCTCTTCGCCGTGCTACTCCCCTGACGCTCGAACATTCTCGTCAACTGCTACTACCCATGATGAGTACTACTCTCTTCTCGTCTTTGACAGCGCCCCCGTTTGAAGACCCCCTCTCGCGTTTCTCGTTTTGTTGTTTGTTATGTGTTGATGTGCGTATGTGTGTGTGTGTGTGTGTGCCCCAACCGTGTGCAGGCGCCACAGGCGGAGCGGTCCGACGCCGGCGCCTCGCAGGCAGCGAAGCAAGAACAGGTGCGCAAGACCCCCAGGACTGACAAACAGCTCAGCCCAATCGCCTCCCAAAAGTGGCGTGAATGGGGCTCAGCGGAGAGAACCCCGCCCTGGCGGCAGGAAGCGACATCGCGCCAACCACCCCCTGCCTCGATGCCCCCAGCCCAGTCGGACAACCTGGATCAGCTTTACTATAAGCCGAGGCACATATTGACTTGGCACCCCATCTGGAACTACCGAGCTGGTGGAAGGGAGGAGTGGAAAGAAGTGCTTAACCGACTCAAGAGGGAATGTGGCCCCTTGTTGGCGATTCGTTGGGGCGCCATCTGCGACCACGAATGTGGACCACACTCCGACAAGGACCCCCATCGTCACCACACGGGTTTCTGCCATGGCTTCGTGCGTGAATTCAACGAGGCCAATTATGATGTTCGCAGGCTTTGCTGGAACAAAGGCATCCAAGTCGATTGCAACGCCGAGTGGTACCGAGGACTCGACAAGAGAAGACGAAACGCCGAGCTTGCCAAAGGCAAAGGGAAGGGGCCCTTCCGAAGGGGAAAGGCAAGCGACTGGCTGACTCCTCTTGGCCGAGCAACGACCCATGTCGTCAGCGCTGGTCAGCCTCCAGGACATGTTCTGAGTTTGGCGTCCCTAGGTTCTGGGCAGTGGCCACCCTGGTCGCTGTCCCGTTCCCCGTCTGCACTCATGGTTCGTGCACTGCCGTGCACTTATTCGGTGCCCCCCCCGTGGGCTTCCAGCATCCGCTCGAGGCCTTCTTCCCCCCGCCGCCAGCGTGCTGCCCTGCGGCCTGGCCTCGCGGCGCTTCTGCGCTCGGGGCTCCTGCTCCCCGTCCCCTAGCGGGTTCTCACCTGCACCTTGGCGGCTCTCGCCGCTCGCCGCCTTGGTTGCCCGGGATGTGCCCTGCCCGTGTAGGCTGGTCTTGCCGCCTACTCGTGGCTTCTGGGCGTTCCCCACCTCCCCGCTGACGGAGTGCGTGCGTTCCTACCAGCTCCCATCCTGCGCCCGACGCGCACGTCTTCTCTTGAGTTCCAGAGACTTCCTGAGATGTTGGCCGAGGGGCCTACATATTATTTTGCCAGCCCACCGGGGGCTGCCTCTTTTTGAGCTGGCCCGCAGGGGCCATGTGACCAGGCCCGGCCAGGGCCCATGTACTTGAGGACCTCCAGAGAGCCTTCTGGAGGTCCACTACCCGCCGCCGCCGTTTGGCCCTGCGGGCCCCGCAGGGCCCTTGACCAATTTTCGGTCTTCCGCCGGGTGGGCGGCTGATGAGAGCTCTGGTGTTGCGCGCTGGAGAGAGAAAAGCATCCTGATCGCTTTGCGACCCCGCCAGTGGTAGCGGAGCCCGCCGCTGGCGGGCAGATCCACTCGACTACACGAAAGAGTGACCCTTCGCCGGAGTGACCTTTGGTGCGCGCTCAGTGGGGTCCCCCGATCGCCGCGCTCGGTGCGAAAGTAGCGTCTTTTGCGCTTGTGTTCGGCCTCCTCGCGCCTCCAAAATGTCGCGCACCAAAGGTCACTCCTGCCCAGGGTCACTCTGACGTGCAGCCGATCCACGGGCTCGGCGGCGCCGAGCAGCAGCAGCTTCAGCGGCGCTGGAGACGACTTTCGAGCTCGTCAGCGACGAGTACGACCCAGGGCTCGACGGCGTCGAGAGGTGATGCAGTACAGGATGGATCGCGATCGCGACGACCATCCTGGTGGAGGCGGCGCCGAGGGCTACAGCCTCATTCCGGTCCGGGACAGCGCGCCACAGGGTTGGAGGCGCTATCGTGATGACGTGGAGATCTTGGCACTGGGTGCCAACCTGGACGTGAACTGCTCCGTGGCGGCGCGGCTCGTGAGCCGGCTCAAGGGCGCTGCCAGGAGGGTCGGCCTCAGGATCCCGAGGGATCGTCTCCAGCCGCTCCAGGCGTCGCCAGCCGAGTACGATGGCGATGGGCAGCTAGTCCGCGAGGCGACGGAGGCCGACACCATGAGAGGCATCAGCAATGTGCTCGAGGCGCTGGAAGCAGCGCTAGGCGGGCAATATGCAGTGCGGAGAGGCGAGGCGATGTCCGACTTCTTCAAGGGCTCCCGGTACAACCGGAGGGCTGGCGAGCGCATGGCGGATTTCGTGGCGAGGTTCGAGGGGGGCGTCCAGAGGCTCGAGGACAATGGAGTGCGGTTCGCGGACCAGGGCGACATCCTGGGCACGTGGTTCCTCGAGAAGCGTTGTCTCTCACCCGAGCGGCGGGGGCGAGTGGTGGCGGCTCTCCTAAATGACAAGTACTCGTACAGAGACCTGGAGACGATCGTGGTCAGGATCGTCCCGGATCTACGCATGACGGAGAGCAGGCGGACGCCGCGTCCTGCGCGGTTCCAGCAGCGAGGCCAGAACCAACGGTTCGGGCAGCGGCGGCCAGGTCCTTCAGGCTCTGGCACGTCCACGCGTGGTGTGAATGCGACGGAGCTCGAGGACCGCGCGGAGGACCCCGGGGGCGAGCGGCAGCAGGACGACGACTACGGCGACGGCCCCGAGGAGCACGAGTACTGTACGAGGTCAACGAGGTCGAGGTCTCGGAGATCCAGGGGTTCGCGCGACAGGAGCTGGAGGCGCTCGCGACGGAGCTCGAGGATAGCCTGCTGGACCTCCCGCCCGAGGACTCTGCAGCGTTGGAGGAGGCGGCGCCCCAGGTGTCGCAGTTCACCGAGGCGCTGGAGGTCATCAGGGGCGCGCGTGGACGCATTCAGGGTCGCGCTGGAGGTGGCGGCATGGCGAAAGGCAAGGGCCGTGGCAAGTCAGGTGAGGGTTCATCCGCTGTTGCCGGGCGCGGCGGGTCCCGGCCCGCCAAGGGTGAGGGGCTCGCAGAGACGCTGAGGCAGAGGAAGCTCAAGTCGACCTGCAAGGCTTGCAGACAGTCAGGGCACTGGGCAGGCGATCCAGAGTGCAAGGCCCCCGCGCACTACGATGGTCACGGCGGCAGGCGACGACTCGGACTCGGTCCACGACGCGCTGTCCGTCGAGCAGGTGAAGGCCGAAAAGGCCGAGGCGAAGGAGGTGTTGAGGAATAAGCTGATCAAGAAGGTGAAGGACCACCTCCGAGGGGTGGTGGACACGGCGTGCGTCACATCAGTGATGGGCGATGTCTGGCGGGAGGCCGACGCGGAGGTGTTGGCGGAGCTGGGCATCAGCTACCTCGTCGAGCGCGAGGAGATCACCGAGAAGTTCGGGTTTGGTGACGGCGGCGCGCTGATGTCCTACGAGGCGTTCCGCTTCCCAGCGATGGTCGCGGGCATGCCCGTCATGGTGCGCTCCTGTTCGGTGATGAGCGACGAGCTGGGCCTGCTGCTGGGAGGTGACTTCCTGGGGGCGATCGGCGCAGGCATCGACGTGGCGAGGCGCAAGCTTGCGGTGGGCTCCGGGTCGCAGCCGTTGCTAGACTCGGAGAATCGCCACTCCGCGCTGGAGCTCAAGCCCGAGAAGTATCGCGCCCTGTCGGAGGCCTACGCGGGCAGGGAGGAGCTCCCGCCCAAGCTCGGCCATCGGCCTAGGTCATCACCGCCTCCTCGTGGAAGCATGGGCGTACTGGCACTGAAGGCATCAGCCATCGTGGCGACCGCGTGCTGTTCAGAGGCCAAGGTCAGCAAGGCGATTGGCGACGAGCCCAAGAGTCAGGACAAGACGAACGACAGCACCACTGTAGGGAACGTGTCCGACGCGACCTGGACTCTGACTACGGAAAACATCTCATCGGAGGACGCGCCTACTTGGGGTGTCATTCGTGGTGCCTGCTCGGCCTGTTGTGCGACTGGGGCGCTCTGCGAGTGCCGGGTGTGCCTTATGGGAACGAGCCCGTCTTGCCTTCGAGGGTTGCAGTGCTCGAGGTGCAATCGTGGCGTGCGTGGTCACGAGACGGGAGTGGGCAACGGCGCGGAGTTCGCGGTACAGCGCCAATCATGGAGGAGACTCCGCAATAGGCTGGGCTGAGACAAGCAATCACATTGCATCAGCATGGAGTTCAACCAGCATGCGTGAAGAAGATGGTTCAGACACAGCTGAACGACACTATGGTCTCCACTGCTTCCAGAAGGGCGCGAAGGACAGGGAAGAGGACTCCAGGTACCCTTGTCGAGTACTGATGCGAGCCGAACGGCCTCATGCCGGAGTTCTGACTAGCCCAGGGAGGAGCTGCACACCGCCTCGGATTTCCCGAGGACGATCTTCGAGTCCGACGTCGCGCGGCTAAGGCTGGCGATCTACTCGAGCAGGCAGCGCGGTCCCGAGCTGGGCGTGCCGACGTTCTCTGGGGCAGTTTGCCCTGCAGTCCCTGGGCGGCGCTACAGAATTTCAAGAGAATAATGCCCAGTTGGCAGTCGACCGCGCGGAGAGCAAGCTATTTTCCATGGGGGCTCAGCGCGCTCTGGAGGTTGACGCGATCGTTGCGTTCGATGGGCCCGTGAACTGCCGCGGGTGGAAGCAGCCCGAGGTCCAGTAGCTTA